CCTCCACAGGTTCACCATTTTCCCATTTGGAGGCTCCATACAGTAATTAGGGCCTTGTGTGGCCCTTTGAACCAATGGCAACCTGTCCCCTTCAAGAACTGACGTTCAAAACTGTGTTCCTGGTGGGTATAACATCTGCATGGAAGGTGTCAGAGTTGAGTGCCCTGTCAGTGGACAAGGAACTATTAACTTTCCATAACAATAGGGTAGTACTGCGCCCCGACCCAGCCTTCATCCTGAAGGTGAATTCAACCTTTCATAGGTCAGCGGACATAGTCCTCCCGTCTTTCTGTCCGAACCCTCAGAGTGAGAAGGAAAGGACATTACACTGTCTGGATGTGCGGAGGGCCCTTAGTTTTTATCTGGACAGAACAAAACATATTAGGGTAAATTATTCCCTCTTTGTCTCCTTTAGAAAGTCCTCTATGGGCAGGAGGGTATCACCTTCTTCCCTTAGTAGATGGATCGGGATGCATAGCTTTGGCCTATACGGCCCAGGGGCTAGAATCGCCTGGGGGGATTATGGCCCACTCCTTGCGGGGGGCAGCCACATTAGCAGCCTATAGGGCTTTTCCCTCATTAGAAGTGGTGTGCAAGGCTGCTACGTGGAAATCCACGGACTGCTTCACAAAACACTATAGAATAGACAAATTGGCCTCCGCTGATGCAGCCTTTGGTCGAAGGGTCTTACAGCACACCCTGTGGATGGGGAAGTAGTTGGACCCACCCTGGAGTATACTGCTGTCTTATGTCCCAGGAGTAAGGAGCCTGGAGGACTGCCCCACTCCTGGACCACTGGAGAACGGAAGATTTGTCTCCACTTACCATGAAGCTTCCTTCTCGGTGGTCCAGAGTGGGGCAGTCCTGCCCACCCGGTTTTTTCGTTGGGTGCTGCTTTTTCCGTCTACAGGGGTGCTGGTTTTTTTCAGTACTTAGAAGAGAGATGGCAGCTGGTGGTATCCAGAAGGGTCTGGGACACAGAGGCACGTTTAATGGGAGTTGAGTGGTATCGAACCGTGGGCTGCCCGTTAGTAAAATTGGATGTTCTGCCCCCCGTTGGGGGTTTAGGTGTTGTTTTTTCTTTAGTATAGGGGAACGGTGGCTTGGAGTATGACTGGGAAGCAGGAGCACAAGCCCCTTCCCTCCGTGACTAAAGAGTCTGCTGGCCCTGCCTTCGGAGGAAAGGAGTCTGGAGGACTGCTCTACTCTGGACCACCGAGAAAGAAGCTTCACGGTAAGTGGAGACAAATCTTCCGTTATCCGCTTCAGTCAATTTAGATACTAGAGG